GCCAACAATGCTGGTTTCGTGACACAGAAGTGATAGTTGTTGTTGGACGAACTTGTGTTTACCAGTGGCTTGGAGCATGGAAACTACCACTTTGTCGAGGAGAATCCAGGGGGAGGGGGTTGACTCAGCCCGGCTGAGCATTGTAGGTTGGCCTTCCAGAGCGTGACGTATCATGTCCTATCATGACGATTAATCTTTGCATACGGGCCTTTGTCTTCTTGAGAAAGACTTTTCATATTGGGGTTGCTACAGTGAATCAGAGTTAAAAAATGAGCGCAGGTTTTTGTTTGTTTTAATAAGCTAGTGGCCAACATGATGCCTGCTGTGCACAAGAAAGGTGCAGAGGAATTCCAGGATCTGGTAAACGTCAATCTCGACCTCAGCAGCCGATGCTCGCATCCTCAGGAGGGCATCGACATGGTGCGTCTCGATCGACTCAACAGCACTAGTTCATCCTCCACTAGAGCTAGTAGCATCTTAGAGATAGAAGAGCCAGCATGCACTGTAGACTGGACTGATTCCAACTATCCTCCCTACCTCAAAATAGTACACTTTGACATGGATGATCTTCCCGTTGGCGAGGTATGGCGAGTTGCTCTGTCGAGTACCCCACTTATTGCTCGCAGATCTTCAACGCTGGTAAGCTCTTGCATCTCTCACTTCAGCTCACTATAGCGCTATTAGCAGTGAATATAGTGGACACCTTAGTGGTAGTTGCATTGTATGAGGAGGCTGAATTGGTGAGCCGCACCTTCGACGAGGTTGAACCGATTGCTCACTGACAGGTCCGGCTTCTATACGCTGTTCTCAATACTGTGGTTTTTGGTTCCTTGGGATTTTATGGCTTCTACCGAGTAGTAGTTATTGCACTGTGTATTTTTGGAGAGCTGTGCTTGCTATAGGGATTCAGAGGCATGGTTGAGGAAATAACTGACGATCTGGATGCATTCCGATTCGCTCAGACACTTTTAACGGTGAGTTCTCTAGCTCCTTCTGCCCGTGAAATTTTACTGAAAATTGTCTCTTCTCTGCCCTGTGCTAGTCAAGGGTGTTTTCTCACTTCGTATTTCTCTCGTTCTTACCTACAAGTGAAAATTTTCCCCCATATGGTTAATGTTTTCCCGTCTTTATTATCATTTTACCCATGGTTCTAATAAAACTCCGAGTAGATTAATGTTACACCCCGACTATTTGCAAGTTTAATTTAACCGGAGTCGCGCGTAAACCCGAATTCGACCTGGGAAGGCTGTAGAGTCTGTTCAGATTGTTATGGTATGTTTTGCCTTCGTTCCTTGCGGCAGTATAGAGGGCTTACTCAGTGATGCAATGCTGGATAGACATACGTGAGCGGAAGGGCCTATGCCGTGGGCTAATCTCGACACGAGTGACTCGTCAGGCATGGGTTCTGGTTCGTCTCGGCTACGATTGAAAGCGTTGGATGGTTGCTGGATGCCCTCCTGTCCTGGTATGTGACAGCTAAGGTCAGCTCGTGTCACCAGAGTGTCACCAAAGATATTCTCTCGTAGATAAAGGACTTGATGCAGCCCGACGTATAAGGCGTTGTGACTTTCCGACCGACTCTGATTGAATAATTGTTTTTATTAGTCTTACTTTGAACACGTATAGTTGCTACTGCCCCAGCTAGGCTTATCGATGGGCCTGAGCTGATCTTTCCTAGTCACCGTGATGGTCGCTTCCCTCCGTCATTGCTGAGCTGCTGTTCGTTGATAATCACACACGTGGTAGTGCTATGGTCTACGTTATCGAGTTGAGTTAATGTGGATACCTTGATCTGTGGATCCCTTCTTCGAGAGCCTTGACTGCATGATGACCGCGTGTGTGTCGGTGCGAAGATGGGTTTATGCTTATTTACGGTCTGGAGGGGTATCTTCAGGTGAGTTCATATTTTTGTGGTGGCATAATATGTAACATGCTCGTTGATGCCTTTAACATGTTGTTATCAAATGTGAAGTGGTGTCGAGTTGTCGAGATAGTACAATGGTTGGAGATCCCGCACTGGGAGTTGCAATGAGCCAGGAAGAAATCTATAGCTCAGCGCTGGTCTTTGGGAAGGGCAGGTTGGAAAGCAACGAGGTTCGTGGGAAACTGTGAATTTTATATAGCGGTGTTACCGATGACGGTGTAGTTCACAAATTGTGAGGCATCGTCATAACATCACTACATGGCAGTCTGCATTCAATTCAGAGTCAACGTTGTTGATAATAGCCATCAGTTGCACTATAGCATGTTCATTGGAGTTTCACCCTAGTGAAACACTAGTGAAAAACATATTTAATGACTACTACAGGCCGAGAATATCGCGTTTTTCACCGAGATTTACGGTTAAACTCGGTGAAAAACGCGATACTTGCGGTGATATGCAGTAATCGTGAGATGTTATTTCACCAGTGTTTTTCATATTGCCGGTGAAATTCCAATGTGAAAGTGAAAGCAATGAATTGACTTATTTTCAACTGGACGATGGGTTAATGCTGACCTCCCGAGGTCTTCATCCAGTTCCTGCTCATTTCACGATTGTTTTATTATGCTCAGCAGATTAAGTGGTCGGGCTCGTGAGTTGGCTGATCAAGCCATGGTAGAGCTTCGAGATGCATTAGAAGATGAGGCTGAGGAAAGCGAAGGGGAGTCTCCTACTGCTCAATCACCTTCCAGTCGAGTCGGTCCATCGACACAGGAGCCCGCCATTTGTGACGAAGGTGCGGTATGGTTAACGCCTCTATAAGTGATTGTATTTATCAGCTCAGAATCCGTTCCAGCACTAGAGGCCGATGAGGACCCCCCGCCTCCTCCTCCGCCACCGCCTCCGCCACCGCCTTCCCCTGGTGGTGCTATTCATGATGATGCATATACAGTGATGCCTAGTAAGTGTGGAAGGCTATGTGGAGTTTCCATTATATTTTTCAGCATCTGGTCAGTCTGGGTCTACTGCAATCCAACTGGGTGGCGTTACGAGTTCGCAGTCATCGTCCAGCGTGGATGACCTTCTCGACGTAATCAAGGGTGACGCTTGCCCTACTGTGTCACCACTGAGGGCAGGTTTTGTCATCGGATAGTTCGAATGGTCGGGCTTCGATCGCGCAGATTATCAAGCAGGCCACGGCAGCGAACAGAACCCTTACGGATGTATCAAAGAGTGTGAGTATCCATTCAGCTTACGGTGATCCCATACTTGTGTATTTCGTGGGCTCTTTGCCAGAGCGGCCGGTTTTCCCTATATTTTCACTCTGGCACTTGGACTTTGAGGTTGCTTTAGTTACCCCGGGACACAATACCTTCCAAGGGCCCTCTATTGGTAAGGCTGCAAACAACAGTGCGAGTGCTCAGCGATATGGTGGCCTCAGCATCGACCGCGAGCGAGGCCTCAGTTCCTGAGCAGCAGCAGGATCAGGCTGTAAGGCATTAGGAAGGCTTATGCGTTTGAGATTGCTGGCTTGTAGATTGCTGAGTTAATGAGAGCAGTGGAGGAGGAGACAGAACGGCATGAAATTGGTGAGCAGTATTTCGCGTTTTCTTGTATTGCTCATGAGGTTGTCAGAGAGAGCACGCATGACCCAGGAGGTGAGTCGAACGAATGCAGAGAATGTTGAACTGAAACAACAGCTGGAAGAACTCCATAAGGAACATATGAAAGTACCCGCGATGTTGGGAACGTCTAATAACGCATAGACTCCACCAGGCGATTGAAGCCGCTGAGGAAAGAACCAATAGTGCAGAGGAAGTCGCCGAGACTGCACAAGACGATTTGGCGAAATACAAGTATAACGGTGTCTAAACGATGATCGAGATATCGTCTGAGGGTCTAGGCTCATGCTGGCTAAAGTCGTGGCTGATCGTGCTGAGCTCTCTGAGAAGCTAGATGACGAGGATAGAGTTGATGCTGGTATATTACGGCAGATGCTGGTTCGTGTTGCTGCGAATATCGATAAGTAAACGGCAGGGCGGAGCGGAGTTTTTTCCGTCGAACGATGTGGTTTTTCTTCAGTTCAGCTGTTCGGACAGATGCATTGTCGGTGATGGCAGAGGTCATACGGCTACCAGATGAGGTCCGACGTGAGTGTGGTCTGCCTGTGAGGCGGTACTCAGCCAGTACCGGTCCTACGGTAGGGAAGTGGTAGACACTCGCTGTGCTCACGTCTGTATGATAGTTGACGCGGAACTCCTCACTAGCGGACAAATTCGTCAATTTCCTCGATGGGGAAGTTAATGGTGGCGGAGCGGAGCCTACTAGTGGCGAACAGCGAGATCTAGGTGAGTGCTGAGAGGGTTCGCTGCTTGGATCGCCCTTAAACAGGCCGTGATGAGAGCAAGTCGCCGAAACAAGTGACGACAGAGATAAGAACTGTATAGCATATATGATGAACTATTTAATAAGTGTTTCTCTACTGCCAAGATGAACAGTGTCAAAAAACAGTGCAGTGAACTCAAACAAGGCTCACAGGACCTAACGCGTTGATACTCTCTTCGTGGTGCTGCTATGAAGACCAGTAATGAAGTTGTAGGAAAGGTGTACACCATCTACTCTCGCGTATCGGGACATCACGACAATGGCATTCCGCGTGTGATTTTTTGAAAGAATTGTCAGACGTGCGGTTCGAACCCGGAACCTTAGCATGTCCCCATTGTGATTAGAGTAAGCAACCACTCGAGTAAATCCTCAACACAATTTCAAGATACCACTATTGACTAGTTTTGTGCTATCGTCTTGGGTTGAGTTGAGTTATAGTAGGTGAGGCTCAGAAGGTATAGATCTGTCTATTGACGAGTTGTGTCTTCTTTTGAGTGTGTATGCTTCCACTGTGGAGGTCGATTGACGACTCATGCTGCTGATGTCATGAGGTAATACTAGAGGGTCCATCCTATCAAACTTGGTGTTGGTCTTTACATATATGTTTGATACTGCTCAGTATTAGCAGTGAGTTACACTTCGAAAATAGCCAACACTGGAGGGTATTGAATTTAGGCGGATATTATCGAGCGTGTTAGTTACAACATACTCATGATAGGTCATCGAGATCGTTGGCCACTAGAAGATCTCGTACGAGGGTGAGTGGTACCTTTGCCCGCGTTTCAGCTTCAACTCCTCGACGATCCAAAGAGAGTCCCTGTAAGGTATCTCGTCTACGAGGAAAGATACACTACCTCTGAAAAGTAGTCGGAAGTCGACTTCGGCACTGCAGTGATTGTGCGAGGGCGGATACAGCTTACAGCCGGTTGTAATATACGGGAGATGACAAGCAGCGAGGGGTAGAGGTTGTGAGTTTAACAACAGTACTAGAAGTCTTATCGTGTTAGTGAATATGTCTCGGCGATAGAGAGAGGGTCGCCCTTATGACGCAGTACTCATCATCAACATACGTCGGCTGGACTAAGCTCATCCTGAGCATGCCTTCACCCTTGTTTCCTTTTTGATGTTATCGGGGAGACGTCTCGCGTTGTATTGGAGGAGCCCATCTAATTTCTCTCTCAACAACCCTCGTAGTTTGACAAATTACTTTTCACGATGTCGTCGAGGGTCCCAAATGGGTTTCTTCGACTATCCGCACCAGTCCTCTCCAAGATTGCTCCAAGACTAGCCGTCCTCGGCTCGGGCCCGGGAGCCTTCTACACTGCGAAGTACATAATGCGGCAGTTAGATTCAGCACGTATCGACATGTTTGAACGGTATGGGGCGACGCTGTGCTGAGTGGCAAACGTCTCTTGACAGGTTACCAGAGCCTTTCGGGTTGGTCAACTATGGCGTCGCGCCGGACCATCCCGAAGTGAAAAATGTCCGTAACGAGTTCCGAGCAGTTGCTCATGAATATCACGACCGCTTTCGCCTCTTTGCCGAGGCTGAGCCGAAGGTAGGGTGCTTCGCTCCGCCCAAGTGTTTGTAGTTGTCCCCTCAGCTGTCGAGCCTACAGCAGCACTATGACGGGATTGTAGTAGCGACTGGTGCTCAGGATGCACACCGTCTTGGGCTGCCAGGAAGTGAGCAAGTCCGACGAGGCATATTGTCGGCGCGGGACTTCGTGAGTGATTGCGCTCCTGTTGGTGGTATGAGCTTCTGGTCAGGTCTCATGGTACAATGGGCATCCAGACTTCGCCGCGGTGACGTCCATGCTGCCTCCGGCTGAGGAGGTGAGTGGAGAGTCTCTCAAGATGGTATCTAGAGGGCATGCTTGCTTCAGACGGAAAAGGTTGTTGTTATTGGTCACGGCAATGTGGCCTTGGACGTTGCTCGTGTGCTGTCCAAGCCAGTAGGGGAGTTCGAGAGCACCGAGATCAGCAGAGAGGCTCTGCAGTGGCTATCGAAGCGTCCACCGAACTCTGGCAAAGTCGGTGTTCTTCGTAGACTCTCGTACGGTATGTTGCTCAGCCAGGTATCAGTTGTGGGCCGAAGGGGCTTTCCCGAGGCTAAGTTCACGAACAAGGAGTTGCGTGAGATCACTCGCATCGATGGTGTCACCGCAAGGGCATACGAGTCTGAGGTAGGAGCGATGAACTGTAACGAACTATCGATTGATATTCTGCCACTCTGCGCTCAGCTCATTGGCAAGCAGGATTGGCATCTTGACCGTGCCAAGAAGCGTGGGTTGCACCTCATTGAGGCGATGACATCCCGAGACCTGCCGTCTGAGGGCCGGCAGGTACTCTTAGTGGTGTCCGTTCGTAGTGGTTGATGTTGACGGCAGATACTATTGCGCTTCCACAGTGTGCCCAAGAGGGTCATCACGAGTGAGCAAGGAGGAGCTTTGGAAGGAGTAGAGGTTGAGCATCCTGACGGCTCCACTGAAGTGGGGAAGACCTCATTGGTGGCTGCTGAATGATACCACTCTTTTGTCAGATCATACCGTGCGGTCTGCTGATAGAGGCTGTACGGTTCAAAGTGATACCCCCTCCGGCCGAGGGCGCTGCTGATCACGTCACGAAGCACCTCCGAATCGACTCGGGTGTGTGGACCATCCCGGGGGACCACAACCGTTTACTTAGTGTATTCTCCTCAGATACGGGGGGCATGGCCCATGACGGCAGCGGCCGAGTTCGAGCAGGTCTGTATCTAGCTGGCTGGGCTAAGAGGGGCCCGACGGGCATCATCGCGGCTAACATCTCCTGCAGTCAATCCACTGCTAATGCTGGTAGGCCTCTAGTCGCACGCCCTTAGCCGTGGTAATCTTATGAGCATATTATCGGTGGTGAATCGATAGAATTTGAGGAATTGAAGATGAAATGCGCGTGGTAGAATCGGACGAGGCCAGAAATGGAAGGCTCATGAGAACTGGGTGAAGCTGAATTCCAATAGACTATAAGCCTCTAGCTCATTGATGAACAAAACCATTGCGAATTGTCCATTTAGTGGTTGAAGACATCTTACAATGGAAGATGCTGCACAAGGAAGGCGAAGTCGTGGATGAGTCTGATGCCTGGATGGTGAGCCGCACTACTGTTCTCTAGCTGTAGCGTGCCTTTAGGTTAATGAACTTCCCTCTGCTCGGGAATGTCGATTCTAGAAGACCACTTTCTCTACTGTGTGTCCTATAACTGTTTTCAAATTCACAAGCAAGTTTCCGCTTCAATTCGAAGAGCCTTCAGCATTTCGTGTTTGCTGTTTTTCTGAGTTCTCTGTCATTAGCATTTCCTATGGTGTTGCCTTCCCCCGGCCTCGACTCGGCACTCACCCGAGGTCTACCAGCTCGGTTTCGAGATTTGGGTGAGCACTAATCCCTATCTCCAATTCCTGAGTACATTCTATTAGAAAACTTGGCCAAGAAAAACCCTTCCCATTTGAATATCGTCTTGTGTCGTTCGCCTAGTGCTGAAGTAGCTCAGGAGGCCTTCGAACTTGGTGTGTGGCCTCTGAGCAAGCAGACAGCTCGGAAGCTATGGGAGATCATGGCGGTGAGCGGAAGTGATTCTCAATGCTGTAGTGGTTTCCTTCTAGGCCCAGTGTGAAGGCTTTGTGGTTTTGGTAATCGCCCTGCCCGCATCTGATTACTCCACTACAGGGCGAGGGCACTACCTGGGCTATGGAGCGGCTATATGCCCTGCTAACACGGAAGAAATGGGAGGCGTTGGGAGTACCTTTCCCGAAGGCTGCAAGGTGAGTACGAAGCTGAAAAAACTGCTCTTCGTTGTGGTCGTTAATAACGACCACAGCGAAGAGCAGTTTTTGTAGACAATAACAACGACTCGTTATTATTGTGTCGTTGGGTAGGTCCACTGGATTGTCAAGGAGACTGAGGTGCCGTACTCAGCTGCGGGTGGGCTTGTTAACACTTTGAATAACAATTATCGGATAGAGCTCACCAGAGATGGCTTTGAGGTTGATGTTGAGTAAGTGCTGGAATGAGATCTTATCCGGTGGCATTGGGGAGCTGAACATTTCCTAGAAGTTCGAGGAGAGAAAAGTTGAAACACAAGTGAAGTTTGAAGGGCAAACGAGCTTCCGTTAAGGAAGTCGTCTCTTGTGCTTCAGGAACGGCATGAAGCTGCTGCAAATACTATCCCCTCGATTCGAGGCGCGGGATGCCCGTCGGTAGCGGAGTTTGGGGGACTTGTGAACTGCCGTGCGCAACTTGAGTTTCGAACTGAAGTCCCGAGTTGAGTCATAGTCATATGGAGCGCGATCGGCCAAAGTGTTAACTCACAAGAAATCACAATGATTGTTGAATGTACCACGAAAAAGCTCCAGGTAAGACCCTGTTTAATTTGAGTGTAATACTACTTATCCTTACTCAAACTCTCCTGGTACTGATTGACTCAGGAGTCTTACTTCACCCTCCCACCTCCGTCAATACCAAGTCTTGGCGGACACTATCAGCCTCAATTCAACGATAGGATGCGGCGCGCGCCTAGTCAGCCTGTATCGTAACGGTTTGATATCCGGTCGTTTCTTACGAGTGCCATCACTAAATAGGTGGACGCATGGACGGACATATTTACTCATTTCTCCGACGCGTCTTTGATCGCCCCCATGCGCAACGTCAGTGTTTGGCTCCTGTTTGCGACTTCTGTTTTGAACCACGCGTATTCCATCGACTACTGTGACATCACGTGTGCCGACGTGCCCAACTGCATATCGTCCTATTGTATGGATTGGAAGGTCCCCGCTGTTTGTCATGGAATTCAAGTCAGATCTGATGGGTCTCTCTGCTCTGCGAGCGATGGTCCTCAGAACTGTCGAGGTTCCGTCCTAAGATGTGACACAGTAACTCCCTCGCCACCCAGCATTACTACTGGACCGAACCATGTGACGACTTCGAGTACTACGAGTGGAACTACTGCAGTAACTTCTGAGATTACTCCATCGTTCGAAGACTTGCGTGGATCGTGGTGCAACACTTACACTGGAATCGACCCTGAAGATCTTTGGACTGTCGATTTTCTCACTTTTCCTGACAATGGTGATTTATTGATCCAATCCCGAGGAGTAGCCTTCATTATGCAATACTTTTGGGAAGGCAATGTTATGTATGTATACCATGTTAGATCGGAGGCTGGGGAAGACCCTGGTTTCTCTTCTCTCCGTTTCTTTTACGCTGTAGCTGACGAGGTAGGCCAACTTACTGGCTACTCGCTAGTCAACTCTATTGGTGTTTTCTATCCGACCCAGGTTAAGACCATATGCGGCCCTGTTACTACTCGCTTCCCTAGCTCGACAACGACGTCGACGACCCCATCTGGTCCAACAGATACACCAACTGAGGACGGTCTGGCTGGAACATGGTGTGGTCAGCCTGACGATACATTCGACTCGATAGGTTTCTCCGGCAACACTCTCGCTGTCCTCTATAATGGTGAGGTCTATTATATGCAATACTACTGGGAGAGCAACATGATTTATACATATGGTGCCGATCCAGTTCGCGAAGCTGAAGCGTCCGTGGAGTTCTCTGCGCTTCAGCTGAGCTATTTCGTGAGTAACATCTCTATCCATCTCGGCGGTGATTATATTGGGACTTACAAGCGTGAGGGTATCTGCGGTCCTCTCCCCGGAATAGAGGGAGTAAAACCTCCCACGGTGGCAACCGTCTCCTATACTACATGGTGCTTGGATGATGGCAGCGAGCTCCCGCCGTTCGAAATTAGATTCACCGAGTCCTATATGACTTTACATATTCTTAGTAGTGATTATTTTTATGGCTGGGAGAACCTCGTCCTTCCTGCCAAGTATTGGATTAGCAGCTCTGACATCAGACTTAGTGATCAAGATAATGGTTTTAAGAATTTCCCAGAACTTGCTCAAGGCAAATTCGCCCTGGTTTACCATGGTTCATGGTTGACTTTGATTAGGCAAGAAGATGTGAGTCTACCTCACATCAAGGTTTCAAGATGTTGACTCATTACGTGACTCGCTAGGTTACCTAGCCTAGGTAGCGATCTGTCATGTTTGTACTATCTGAATTGAATTACAACAGGAATAGTGACGGGTATGTAATTTTGTTGAGTCAGTAACAGAGGGATATTTAGGAAGTGAAGAATTCGATACACATGCAAGATGTTGTACGCTGAGATATCATGACGATAAGACAACTAGGGAGGTTCTTGGCGCTAGAGAGAAAGGTGGAGCGTGTGTTCATCGTCGATCACACCGTTGAGTCACCCGAGCATCGATGGATAATGTGTACTGTAAATTAGCTTACAATGCATGATCAGTTTAACCTGTTGAGTTCGGCAATACATCGAGGCAGGGAATGTTGCCACTCGATCGCCATAGGCTCTCTTTCGGTTGTAGTATCAATACAAAACCCGATGCCCTTAAGAGACCATTTTACGAGGAACTGTCACGTTTAGCCACTGAGCGATGGTTACATCATCCTCGCCAAGCGAGATCAAGGAAGTGAGAAATTAACCCTAATTCGATTAGAATCTCGATTAGAACTATCCAGTCAAGTCGTAAACAATCCATGGATATGCTGGGAATTGATCTCGGAATCATGTACATGCAAACAATATATGTTCTAGCCCATGGTTTCATCATAGAGTGCCCTCCACATATATCTAATAGATATTGTCTCGTCGGTTAGATGATTAGCACGTGGAAGAAGATCTCACCTCAGATGTGTTAGACTTCCAACTAAACACTAAGACCAATTTATTGAAGATGAATAAGTGCCGTAACCGTACAGGTATGATTGCTGGATGCGGCAACAAAAAATACAGGGAAACCCACACCGAGCAAATGGTTGACTTGGCGCAGAGCAGACCAACAGGTTAACGACGCTGGAGACCTCCAAACCCTGGCTTCGACGCATCGTATGACCGCGGTCCCACTCCACTCTGTGTAGGGGTATTTGGTTGTTGCCAGCGGTTCTGTTGATAAGCCTGCTGAACCGGACGAGCGCCCCACCCTTGCTGTTGAGTTTGTTGTACTTGCTGTGGAGCACCATAATTGTTGTACGCATTCCCCACACCCCTCGCACTAGTTGGATATGGAGAATTGTTCTGTCGCTGTCGCTGATGTTGTTGTTGGTGCTGGAAGCCTCCACCGCTACTGCTGCTGGTATATGGCGATTGTTGTTGCGGCTGTTCCACATAGTTCCACGAGCTGTTGCTGTTGTTCCAGCTCCCCATCGAGTTAGCTGCACTAGAGTAACCACTGCTATGCCCTGCCCTGCTGTTGGTGTACGGCCTAGCGCCCACTCCCGATTGCTGCTGCTGGGGATAACTCGAGCCGTTGCCGTACTGTGTCGTACCCTGTTGCCCGGGGCCTTGCGTGAACGGTGTCGAGGGCTCCGAATTGAGAATACTGTCAAAGTCCAGACCGTCGTCCTTTGCAGTAGCAGAACCAAATAAGGCAGAGGTGTCCACTTCGTCATCCTCAAACAATGTCGCTACGCCCGTGGGTCGTCGAGTGAAACTCGTATCCCCCGAATCATCCGACTTCTTCTGCTTCGCTCCGCTCTTAACTGAGCCACTGCCACTTCGCGTACCACCAGCTGTCTCTGGTGAAAAACTCACAGTCGAATCCTGAGGAAAGGATCTTTCCACGGCTTTCGCTCTGAAGTGGCACTCACCTGAGCGCCTCCAGGTTGCACGTGATGATCTCCATCAGGCGTACTGATGGCGAAGACTGCCGCATTGCCAGTGTTCGACACCCCGTATCTGGGAATGGGGGACGCCGCGTCGGTACCCTGAACCACAGAGAACTTCCACTCCATCGTTTAGAGGAACCCTCACCCAAAAGTCGTCAGGTGGAGTCTGTTTTCCAGCAGTTTTCCGCAGCTCTTCGACGGGAGACGCCAACGCTTCCTCCCCGCCCTAACAAAAGAGCACTCTCCAGTCCTAAAGAAGTCGGAGGATCTCTCCATCACTGTCCGTGAAACCAACAACATAAGTATCAATGCCGAGCAAAGGCCCCGCAGCGTGAGAAACGTACCAGAGAGTCATCCAGCTCTCAGAAATAACGTTCCTAAGATCCCGCCGAGACTAGGAAAAATGTTCCGAATGAGCGATTATAATGGGGAAAATCTCCAAAATTGGCCGAAAATATGTTCCTAGCCATTTTGAGAGTCCAGAAGTCGTTCCTGGGAAAATTCCTCCGGGAACATTTCAAGTTGCTCGATGACTCCCTGAAACGTACCTCAGCATCCACGAGCATGAGCTCACTGGAATGTTGCTGGAACATGTCCTTAGGAACACCAGCCGTCCTGATATCCTCCGCTGTCCTCTCATCGGCCACATCAGCGCTATAAGAGGAGACAGTCGAGGGCTTCCGAGTGTGAGCACGCTGAGGGGTGACTGTCAAACCGCCAAACTCGAGCATTGAACCCACCTCAGCTGGACTGCTCATCATTAGACTGGAAGCTCCCACAGGCGACGATACAGCCGCCTTTGTGGCAGCTGTTGGTACTGTAGCATTGGGCACAGGGGCCGTAGCATTGGGCACACGGGCCGTAGCACTGGGGACAGGGGCCGTAGCACTGGGGACAGGGGCCGTAGCATTGGGCACAGGGGCCGTAGCATTGGGCACAGGGGCCGTAGCACTGGGGACAGGGGCCGTAGCACTGGGGACAGGGGCCGTAGCATTGGGCACACGGGCCGTAGCACTGGGGACAGGGGCCGTAGCACTGGGGACAGGGGCCGTAGCATTGGGCACAGGGGCCGTAGCACTGGGGACAGGGGCCGTAGCATTGGGCACAGGGGCCGTAGCACTGGGGACAGGGGCCGTAGCATTGGGCACAGGGGCCGTAGCACTGGGGACAGGGGCCGTAGCATTGGGGACAGGGGCCGTAGCATTGGGCACAGGCAATTGGGAACCAGATGAAGGCGGTTTAACAACCGCACAACTGGACGACTTCACGGGTTCTGATGACAAAGTCGTTTCTGGCTCTCCTCTAGGAGAAGGAGGTGGTGCACTCTCTGAATGAAAGCTGTTCATGAGCTTATCCAATAAGCAACCATCTGTCACCAGTATTGGCCCTCTCTAGATTGCTCAACTTTTCTGCCTCAACTCTGCTAGCCTCCTGAAGGGCTCTATCAAGCTCCACAGCTCGTGTTTGTTCCCTAGTGAGGCTCTCAACGAGACCAGACCTGGCAACATCCCATGTCCATTGATGAACCTCCAGAATGCCCTCACTTCTCATTGCACAGGGCCTCTACCCTAGCACGCAACTCTTCCACTGTTCCTGCTAGCTCTGAACATCTGCCCTTCTCAGCGTCCAAGTCCGCGCGGAGGTCGGGGTCTACAGAAAAGGACCACAAACCTTCGACAAGGTGTGATTTCCTCCGTAGAATAATAAACCAATTTCACACGTCACGATGACAGATTATACCATAAGGACCATCGCAGTGCTATCCTGCAGCCGAAAACACTTTTCTTTCGTAGAGATAAAGTAGTCGATAGCGGCGCTACCCCAACTTACACTCAGGCTCCACAGGTGATGTCACAATGTCCGAAGAAACGGACCTCGGCGAAAGCGGCGACGACTTTAAATGATCTAACTCGAAATTGAGGGCGTTCCTAAGGCGGATAAGACCCAAGTCTCATTTATCAACCATCACTGTGGAGTGATCAAAATCGAAAATCAGATTTTGGAATCATCTCCTCAAAATCATAGTAGAGCATGTAAGCCTCACAACGCCAACAGTGCAACTATGTCCCTCACAGAAGATCACATAGGAAGATCGACCACTGGTGGATCCCCTTTCCCCCCTCACTTCTGCGCCTTAAGTTCTCTTACTTCCGCCCTCAAGCGGAATATGGTCTCCTCAGCATTACGAAGATTGCTGTTCAACTCCTGTTCGCGCTCCTCGAACATAGATTGGTCTGGGCCAATTCTATCCTGAAAATAATCAATTCTCGCTTCGCTCCGCCTCGCCCACCAACCCTACCATCTCCTGAAGCTCCGCTCGAGCTCTATCCCGCTCATCTTCTGCTGATCTCAGCTGTTCGGTCACATCAGCGAGGAGGGACTCAGACGCTCTGAGAGAAACATTGCAACAGCAGCATTCGATCATGAATAATCCACAAAATAACAGCGGAGCGAAGCACCAATAAAATTACTCAGCCTTCCGCTGAAGCCCTATAGCATCTTGCTGAGCTTCCTCTAGTAGCTTCTCGAGCTCTGCATACTCCTCCTGACAAAAAACGATGTAGAAAAAATATCACCGTCACCACAACTCCATCACATCGTTATGCTTGACCTCAGGCTCCGGTAATACGTCCGTCTGCGTCTTCCTACTCACAACGTCCGGCTCCTCAGTTTGACAAAGCTCGGCCTGGGACTGCGAAATCTGATAGAAAATTCGATAAAAAAACTCAGCCGCCAATGCTGCAATTGTTGCAGGAATGAGAGCCCACCTCAGTTTCAGTAGCAACATCGACCCCTTTCTCCTTAGGACCCTTATCACATAGATCGACACTAAGCGAGTCCCGAGGTGTCCCTCGAGGACTGGGAGCAATCGGTGGCTTCCCCGCTGCAGCATTCTGACGTGAAAGGAGGTCGACCTGAAATCACCACAGGTCCCCGGTTCGATCCCTGGGGGAGGCATTTCTCACTCGTGCTAAAAACTCCCTGCGTTGCCTCAACCGCGCTATCTGCTCTCGCTTAGCCTATCAAAGGCACATACCAAAAACACAATACTGATCCAACCAGCTTACCGTTGCTGAAAAAGTACTCGCGGAAATACTTTGATTGCTGCTATTAAGCCTTTCATTCCTCGACTCCCCACCAGGGCTGTCGCCAGTCATCCGTAGAGACATACCGCTAGGAGAGGTATCCCCTCTACGAGGTGGCAGATGAGGGGTACTCGCAGGGGCATACATGATAATCGTCGGATGGGTAAAAATATCCGACTTCGTGACCATATCACTCAGGTAAAATCGCCCCCCAAGATGTATTCTTCCCCTGGTATTGCAACGCGAGAACAGGTGAAGCTGAAATGATGATGTTGAAACTTGCCGGCTTTCAGGACACCTTTCTCGAGCCGTCCAAAACAATGGTAACACAAATGTTGCAACGACCTGCAACGGGCGCCACCCCAACCGTCGCGCGCCACAAAATTATTCTCAGGTTCAAGTGCTATTAGATGCCGTAGAAAGCGTTGAGGGCATCTTCGACAAAGCCGTGCTATCATCTGGTGCAGAGTGCTCCTCTTGAGTCAGCCTTCCCAGACACCAATCTCTCTGGGCGCACGCTAAATCATGATTCTTCACTGCAGTCTGGTACCTACCGACGATTGCATGCCACAGTGTGGTAAAAACTGCACATGGTCAAACACATGCATTGGTGACTATATGAAAATTCTGAGGAAATTTTTGAGGGAATTCTTGCTGGTTTTCGTGCACTCCTAACCCAGTTCGCTCATAAGCTCCTATGATTAGAACTCAGCTGAGGAAAGTGACCATATGTTGCAAAACTGTCATACCAAATATTCCAATATCAAATATTACTGGAGTTTCACCCTAATGATATGAAAAACCTATTTCACGACTACTGCATATCACCGCGTTTTTCACCGAGTTTTACGCCACTTCGAGTAAAACGGGTGAAACTCCATTATATCAACTTGCACTTCACAGAAATATCACACCAAGTGCATGCAGACACGGAACAGAGCATAACCGTTCAACTCGAGACATATACCACACCTTCAAGATTTATTCAGTTTAATTCCTAAACTACAATGGTGAATTCTCTACTGCGGTCGAATACTCGCAGCACCTTTAGGTTGACGACTTCAACTCTCTCACTAATATGGCTAATCTCCCCGTGAAAGTCACCAAACTGTGTATATGTACACTTTTACTACTACTCCCATCGCATATATAGTGATTGTTTATTGAGTATTAAAATTGTCAAGTCAAGTCATCACACGTCCAAATGTTCGAGGACCGAGACTTCGCTACTTACATGCTGTCCAATGCCGCATTGTGCATGCGTAGATTATCAACTTCCCTCTTCAACTTCGCCGCTTCCTCCAACTGCGCCGTCCGCGTACTTGCCTGGAAACCATGATTTCTCCAAGGAGTGGTATGACTTGCACCCAGACTCACAAGCTCCTCATTAACAACTCCCTTGAGCAACTTCGTGTTGGACAACTCGTCCTCTCTCTCATCCATGAGATCTCGCAATACGATCTCCAAATGGGAACACTTTTTTTGCAAAACTCTAACCATCACTTCTAGATCCACCGAACCTAGAGGGGAATGCTTCCGAAACAACCACCCGTTTTACGTGAAATGGCGTAAAACTCGGTGAAAAACGCGATGCATTGGTCACGAAATATGTTTTACACTCGTGTTTTTCATATCAAACTCGGTGAAACTCCAGTGCGTTCGTTTTGAATAGTCCAAAATAATAAAATCTCATAAATTCGCCAATTAGGAATATGAAATCCCGAATATTACGAAAATATTATACGACATTTTCCATGTGAATTTTAGAAAGAAGTAGACACAGATGAGAGACTATAACAAATTACTATAACAAATTTTGATACTGCCTCCAGCATTGAAATTTTCAATCTGAAAAGTTCCACAAGCTAAACTAGTACGAAAAATGGCCTAGAAAAGAATATAGTCGTAATTGCCAACTCCACATCCATGACCACTGCTTAATGATTCAACCATACCACACCTCCGTCGTTTCATACACTAGGGCAATGTGGGAAAATGTGCACATGGTCAACTACATGTGTCGGTGACAAAATGAAAATTTTCGAGGAAATTCCAGAAAATTCTTATTGATTTCTCAACATTTCTACCCAAATTCCTATCATGAGTGGAAAAACTTCTGAGCTCAGCTGAAAAAAGCGACCATATATTCCTCCAACACACCAGCCTACTTACCGCTATTGAGCTCCTCCTCCGAAATGTCACTATCCCCACTAGAGACAGTAGCAACACTCTTCGTGCTTTCCACAAGCACCGACCGCTCCCCAGAAGCCGACGATCGATGATGGGGCTTCACCGAAGTCACGCCGCTGACCAGAGAGCTCAACTTGATCTTCTTCCCCTTTCGCGACTTGTGTGTTGAACTCCCATCTGAATAACAAGCCAGCCCATCACAGCTTCTCATCTACTTCGTGTACTCACTAGTAGTCACAGTAGCAGTACTGGGAATGTCCGTCTTGGAACTCCCACTAGGTATTGCTATCTCTTGCAACCACGCGTCTTTCAACTGCATCTGCAGCTGTTCACATTCACGACGAGATGCTTGAAATCTGAATAAACACTTCACTTTAAACTACAACTTCGTAAGTTGGTGAAAATATGAAAATTTTGAGAAATATTCCTGTTTTAGTGAACTTCTATACTAAGTCGAGCGTAAATTTCAGTAACTTCCGAGTTGACTCCTGAGCTCAGCTGAGGAAACCAAACATACATTCCAACTACTTCTATAATAACAAAAAATGTCAATATTAAGCCAATTAGAAATTACAAGTAGTAATGATTCGATACCATTCAATGTGGGGGGAAAACACGCCCATGGTCAACTACATGTGTTAGCAATAATATAAAAATTCCAGGAAATTATCATCAGTTTCTCTAAAAATTTATCCGAATTTTGTAGTAAATGGAAAAAATGGGTAGCGAACATGTATTCCAACGCTGATAACATCACTGATGCTCTCAAGGGTGCTAAGGCCTACCTCTCAGTGACCTGCTTCAACTGACTTCGCAATTCCACTACTTCTAGTTTCTGTTGCATCATTTCTTGGAACTCATTTCGGGAGACCAACAACGATTCTTCGGTCACACTAGGAGAATATCTGACAGAAAATATATATCGTCATACCATAATTCGGCCCAACTCCCATCGCCCACTCCATGCTCGAGATGACAGTATGGTCCTCTCCAACACTTCCTTGCCCTCAAACATAATACGTCCCGGCAACATACTACTCGAAGCTTAGTAACAGTCGATGAACCTAACACAGAGAAAAATCAAACCCAGTTACCCACCAGCAGTGTGGGAAAATTTGCACGAAATTCTCGTTGGTTTCTGTACACTTCTACCCGAATTCGCATATAAACTCTCCTAATTAGTGAGGAAACTCCCAAGCTCAGCCGACAAAAGCGAACATATATTCCAACAACACTCCCAAGTGAGTGCTTACTTTTTGTCGAGTCAGTATTATAAACTCCTCCGATCAACCAAGGCTCATTAGCCGCCTCCTGTCCACATACACATCCTTGAAATCCCTCATCTATCTCCAACTGTAGTGAATCTTTCCGTGATAGTGTGGTTGCCACCGAGGGTCGTCTACGGGAAGCTGTAGCACTGTAGTGACATTCAGGAACCTACGACACCAATACCAGAGCAGTCTTCTCTAAGACCTACCCCTGCTAGCATTGGCAACTGCGCCATTATATCGAATACCGATCCCTGGGGTATAGCCCGAGTAACTAGCGCGTTGGGCACTGCAACTCGCCACGACCCATCAGAGAGGCTGAAGTACGAGGATCCACCCAGGTTCGATCCCCAGCAACGGCATTTTACCTCAACATAGTGTCCCTCATACAAAGTCTCATACGCCACTCCGGCTCTACTGCATCCACTCCATCGCTCAAGGCAGCTGCTGCAGTCGGTGATAAAATACCACCATCGTGAAGAAGACCCTCGTCAGCTTTCTCTGGAACTTGCCCGACTCCCGTAATGAAACCATCTATACAATGAATGAACATATGTAATACCCGTTAGTGAAATAATACTAATATGATATATTGTATGTATATCAGTTTTTATATTTATAATGATACTAATAATAATATTGGAGTTTCACCACCCTAGTGATATGGAGAACATATTTCACGACTACTACATATCACCGCGAATATCGCGTTTTTCACCGAGTTTTACACCATTTCTCGTAAAACGGGTGAAACTCCATTATAATATAAATAAGGCATTAGATATCTATAGATCTGAAAGCCTATGAAATTCATTACAAAGTATACACCCGCAATCCTACCATCTGAGGAGGCGAGCTCCAAAACTATCCCATGCCACGCTACGGTGTGGGAAAATATGCATACGGTCAACTACATGTCTATGTGAAGTTCTGAGCAAACTTTGGGAAATTTTCATTGGTTTCTGTACACTTCTACCCCAAGTAACGAAAACTCAGCTGAGGGAAGTAACACATATTCCAACACTGAGAATCAATTCCCGATTTTATTACTAATCAATCTAGTGACTTCCCCCCAGGCTGCATCCCCATTAAACGTAAACCCATGCAGACAGCCTTCTAACGGTCGAGCCTGAACAGCATTATCTATAACCCTCCACTTTATTCATCATCATCACATAGCTAGCCTCAAATTGAGGCCCTCCGGGTTTCGCTTCATTTTTCCCCGTGCTTTTGCTGGATTCACAACAGGCCAGAAAACGTGGAGGAACCTGCCATACACTGGAGTTTCACCCGTTCTACGTGAAGTAGTGTAAAACTCGGTGAAAAACGCGATATTCGCGCTACACAGTAGTCCTGAAATATGTTTTTCACAAGTGGTTTTCATACCGCGGGTGAAACTCCACTATATACAAATCTGTTGATGGCCGATCGAATGCAACAACATAGATAATACCAATCGATGTCTACATCATTCGTGGCCATATCGCGACTCTTCCACGACAGGAGTATTGACCTCCGGGGAAAAAATCTAAACCCTGATGAATTCATTGATGCATCAACACTGACAG